AAACAAAATGATCATTCACATGTCCTGAATAAGGTAAACCAAATTTAGAAATTACTAATTTAATTGTTTTCAATGATGCATCTCCTAAGCGATGATGCCAATCCTGGAACGAGGCTCTTTCTCCAACAAGTGCTTCAGTTGATTTTTCTCTATCATTAATGGCTCCTGGGAAATGATAGAGTCCATCTTTACTGGGTCCTTTCAGTAAAACTCTCCCCATATCCTTTAATAAAAAGAAATCCGTGTGAAATTCAAATACTAAATTATTATCTCTTGTAAATTTGCAAATTCTTCGTCAGGGCAGGAACATGATAAATATTTTGAGATTAAACTAATAATGATCATAATTTAATGAAGAAGAACCAATACTTTTAATTGTCAAACCTTCACCATTACCAACTTTCACTTGGTCTGTACCAAAAAATTCAACTTGTTTTGTAAGTTATCAGCATCTGGAGTCATGTGATGAGTTGCTACACTATGAGGGTATCAAGCAAGATCGAAATTAGCTGTTGAGGCATTGTAGGAAGACATACCACTATGAAATGTAGTCGCAGGATCTGGAGAAGTGTGGTTATTTTCTCTTTGGTATGAGAGGTCGTGCCGTTTGTAGCACTTGAGTGCATCATGGCCAGGTTTGTTACATACCTGGCAGATAATTGTATTACCTCTACCTCGACCTTGTCCTCGTCCAGATTGATTGTCATGCCCCTGCCTCTACTGCGACCATAGTTCCCTTTGCTATTCTGAAATTGAGAACTATTATTGTTATTCTTGCCATTATTATTGTTATTTGCAGCTATATTGGCATTGGGAGCTTCACTGGAAACATTGTGCTAAACAAGCCAAGATTCATGGCGAAGTAGTAGACTAAGAACATCATTGATGCCTAACTGATCAACATCAGTTCTATTTGTAATAGCAGTGATTAGAGATTCATATTCGCTTCCTAGTCCAGATAAGATGTAAACAACAAGGTCTTCCTTAGCTACCGGTTCAGAAACAACAAATAGATTGTCTACAATAGTTTTTGCTTTCTGAACATACTCACTTATGGACAGATTGCCTTTCTTAAGATTTTGTATTTTTAGCCTTAGTTGTAGCACCCTAGATCGTGAGTGAGAAGAAAACAATCTTTTTAGGGCACTCCAAACTTCGGTTGCAATAGACAATCCAACAACTAGGCTAATACGCCCTCTGTTAGAGATGCAACAAGCCAACTTAAAACAAGTTGGTCCAACTGTACCCATGAATAATAGTTTGGGTTAAGAATTTTCTTACTACCATTGTTGGGATTTGGAATTTCCTCTGGTGGTGCCTTGGTCGAACCATCAATCAAGCCCATCAATTTGTAGGCCCTGAGAACTGGCAGAAATCGAGCCTTCCATAGAAGAAAATTTTCTCCATTCAGTTTGATGGTGAGATACAGAGAAATGTTGGGAATGGAATTCATGGCTACTGTAGTAGTCATGTTCTGAAGACCAGAAGAGTTGGAGCTCATAGCTTCAAACGAATTAGCACTGTGAGATGCCATAGGCTCTGATACCAAGATAAAATTGTAAATGAGAGAAAATATAAAAAATAAAAGAATTGTTGTATTGCTTGACCTATCAACCAGGCTGAGATGGGTACAATATATATACACAAAGATCAAAGAATAAATAGAGAAACTAAGAATAGAATAGGCAGTTGCCTATCTACAAAGATTTCTAATTAATTCTTCTACCAAATTTAGTGGTTGCCAAATCTACGTGAGAGCCTTGAGATCTCTCATTGGCAGCTGCTAAAGATCCTTTATTAGTGGTTGTTATTCTGAAAGAGCCTCCATTGATAACTGCAGTCTTGTGGGAGTTACCTTATGGAGTGCTTTCCTTAATACTCTCATATTCCCTCTCTTTCTTATACCCGTCATTCCCCTACCTATCCTGGCGAGCTAAACTCAAACCCGAGCCTTTGTTCATCGTCTTCTCGATGAGAAAAGAGTAGTTGCGGCAGTGTGAAAACCTCACTCCTTTCTCTTTGTTTTCTCCTATTCTCTCATACTCCCTCTCTCTTCCTTATCCCCGTCATTTCCCTCCCTCTCCCGGCGAGCTAAACTCAAACCTGGGCCTCTGTTCATCGTCTTCTCGATACATTTCTAGCATACATTTTATCATTTTTTAAACTCTACTTCCTCTTTAATCGTTCTTCTTTCTCCGCTTTCATCTTCCTTCAACCGATCACCGGTCATCCTGTTTTCTCAGTCTTCACCGGTTAGGAATAAACCACAGTAGCAACCGTCGTTGGAGGCCGTTCTCTTCTCGGTTTTAGGTAGAAACCATACCCAGATTACCATTTCTACTCGCCAAGATTCAGTTACCATTGTCAATTAATATTGAACTAAAACTCAAACAAAAATGGATTTAGTTCCTTGCTTTTCTAACTCTTTAAACAGTCCTAGGGTGATTTCCAAGCTGCATTAAATTTTGCAGCAGTAATGGAGTCCCCTGTTATTCCCCATTTTTTTTATTTATCGCCTGTCATGCTTTCGTAGGTTTCTATATTTCCACATCAAACAATTTCGAAGTACTTCCTCACTTGTCATGCTTTCGTAGGTTTCTATATTTCCATTAGTAGAACTATAATATCTTTATTGATCAAGGCTAATAGTGCTCAAGTTTACATATTGGTAGGTGCTTACAGAGTAGTACGTAGCATTAGAGTAGATGGTAATGATACTATTGCTGTTTATAGTGCAGTTCAGACTTCAGAGAGCCCGTGAAATGGCTATTAGTGAACACAGGCCCATCTTAATAGAGGTACATCGTTACGTTATTCTTCTGATACTACCTGTTGTTTGTTCTTAAGCAACAATGGTGGTCTTTTTCCCTCCCATTTATTGATTTTCTCCTTGATTTTAAATTTTCAGGCGCTTATTACCTATTGAGTTGGACACCACTCCACTTCAGATGATTCCACCAAATATGAAATATCGCCCAGTTGATGAAATCGAACGCTGGAGATCAGCACGAGAGGCCCTGTTACTAGATTAGAAAATGGATTGAATTGAATGGTTGGTGCAGTAATGAAGATGAATCAGAGCTTAGAAGCAGTGTGAGGAAGAAGGTGGGTGTCCATGAGGTCCACATAACTCCTACTTTGCTTCATATTATTGTAATATTCTTGGTAAAAAAGGTAAATGGTCACACTTCAATGCAGATATTGCGTGCAATACAGGTGGCAGAGAAGGTGGAGAAACCTCCATTTGCTGATTTGTTCACGAATGTCTATGATCATCCCCATCTTATCTCCTTGAACAAGAAAGATTACTTAGAGAGACAATCAAGAGACATCCACAGGATTACCCTCCTAATGTGCCTGTTTAGATCATCATAACAAGGATATGTAGAAGGGTAATATTTTTGGAAAATCTTGGGATCTTCCAGCATCTATGTATATGATTGTTATTTCTATTTCCTTAATTCAAAACATGTATGTCTGATCTTGGGGATCACATGGACATGTGATAAACCAGAATTCGAGTAAGTCCCTTTCCCATAGAAATCGTTCTCACTTCTGCTGTATCTCTGTTTTTCCTTAATTTCTTCTCATTACTATTAGTATAACGGACACCTGGCCCTGGGTGGTTGTATGAGCCGGCAATGAAGCTTCTGAACCGGCTTCTGTAAAGTCCATGAAACCCACCCATTCCCAAATCTGTCATACTTTTCCCTTTGGGCTCTAATCATCATGTGTATCTGTCTCTCAAAAGGGAAATGCCTATTTGGTTGCTCAGGCTGTTGTTCAGGTGTCGAGAGGATAGGGGTTTATGTAGGCACATTCGGCTGGTCTATACAAGGCTGACACATGTCGAATGAAGGACCAGGCATATTCAGCCGTAGGGTGCCGTGTGGCTTTGGCAGAACATCTCTCCAAGCCCTCGTATGGCTTGCATCTGGAATATCTGAGCCCAATTATCTCTAGCAGCTCCGGCTATAAATGCAAAGCACCCCCACAAGGTAAGGGATTCGAAAACTAGAGTAATCTCTAAGCATTGCCTCTCTCTGGATAACTTAAGTGCTATTTGAGATCTCGTCTGGACCTTTTGGTTCCAAACCTCTAGCTCACCTTGTGTGCATACTAACTTGACCGTTGGAGTCTTTGCCTCGGGTACTCACCTGAGGCCTCTGATGCTTCACTCCTCGCAAGATCCGTACCGAAGCCTCTTTCGGACCCCTTGCACGATACACTCATCACGAGCCCTCGGCTTCTACAGTATTCGAAGAGACCTTCCACCTCGGACGTAGTCCTTGACTTTGGCTTTTTCCCTTTGGACCTTCGAAGCTTTCGGCTCCCTCCTTTGAAGCTTGGGAGTGAAATTACTTTGTTGCCCTTGGCTAATCCAAGCATCAACAGGGGTGATGAACAGATATAAACGAGAGTTTTTGACCATTAGCGATCTACATGATGCCATAGTGAATCTTTGATGTTGGTGATGGTGAACAATCCTTTAAATGCATTGGTGAGATTTCAAAAATATTTATTGGTGAGAAGCAATAAAGATTTTTATGATTAATTAGGCTGTGTTTGGAATCGGTGTAAATCAAGAACTATGTAAAACATTGATTATCAAAATAAATGTAAAACATTGATTATATCGTGAATCAATGTAAAACATTGATTATCAAAATAAATACTACATCATAAATTTTATGGATGTAAAACTTTACACTTTTTTATCATGGTTTTCAAAATGTAATGATCACCTATTATACGGTTCCGTATAAAACATCATCAATGTACACCGGACCTAAAGGAAGCCTAAGAGAATGAAAAAAAAATAGAGAAAAGTTAATGGATATTTTGATTATTTAACTTTTTTTTTTGTCATCTGACTGAATTAACGGTTGAAGGGGTTTTTGTCTAACAGCTAATGTTCAGGAGGCCTTTATGTGAAATTAAAGTATAAGGGTCTTTGTCACTGACCTCTACGGGGGGTCTTCGTAATTTACCCAAAAAAAACCAGTTTGACTGTATTGGGAGTTTGGGTCCCGGCCGGCCATATCCATTGACAGCTCTGGACCGCTGCGAGCGCAAATACTGAAATACATGCGGGTGAAAGAGCGAGGGAGATTTGAATTTGAAATTGCAAAAATTGTCTTCACCTCTCTACTCCCTCTCCCTCCAAGCAATGGTCGCTAGGCCCGCTCTTACTAGTTGCTCATTTTTCCCTCTGTGCTTATCATCTATAGTTCTCGTTCTAATGTGATTCCTCTTCAAGCAGTCTCAACTCTTAATCAATGGAGAATTTCTTCCTTCTGACTCGTCCATATGACTCTTTCTCCCTCAATAGAATTCCTGCTCAAGAACCCACTTTTCTCTCTTCTTCAAAGATCGAAAACGACCTCAGAGATTATCCAAATCCATGCCCAGTTGATCAAAACCAACCTTATCTCCAACACACTCGCCGCAAGCCGATTGATTGTTTCCGTAACTTCAGGCGCTCTAAACATGGATTACGCAGAGATGATGTTTGCTCAAATTGAAAAACCAAACACATTCATTTGGAACACCATGATTAAAGGCTATGCTGAAAGCTCGAGTCCTTCTCGAGCGTTTTATTTCTATGGTCGGATGCGAATGGGAAGTGTCTCGGTTGATAACTACACGTACCCTTTTGTTCTTAAGGCATGCCAGCTGATGTTGGGATTGCACGAAGGAAGGATGGTCCACGCAGAGGTTTTGAAGAAAGGGTTCGGATTCGATTTGTTTGTAAGGAATGGCCTGATTAGTATGTATTGTAGGTGTGGCGAGACGGCTTCGGCACGAGCGTTGTTCGATGGATTCCGCGAGAAGGACTTGGTTTCTTGGAATTCTATGATAGGCGGGTATGTAGGACGCGGGGAAATGAACGAGGCAGAGAAACTGTTTGACGCAATGCCGGAGAGAGATCTGTTTTCTTGGGCCATTATGATTGATGGGTACGGGAAGGTCTGCATTTTCAACTATGGCGTTTTCCTTGTTGTCGCTACTTCATAATATTAATCTACTTCTGGTCAGATGAGTTTGTGAAATACATGTTCTTGTGTTATTTTCAGAAACTCGGTGATGTTGCTCGTGCTCGCCTGCTATTCAACACGATGCCTGAGAGAGATTTAGTTATTTGGAATTCTATGATTGATGGGTATGTAAGTCATGGAGAAATGTTTTCTGCTCGCCAATTATTTGAGGAGATGCCTGAGAAAAACGTTATCTCTTGGAGCATCATGATTGACGGCTACACCCGATCTGGGAACTGCAAGGAAGCTTTAAGTCTCTTTAAGCAAATGCTTAGGGAAGGAATCGTACCTGACAAGGTTTCCGTAGCAGGGGCAATTTCAGCATGTTCTCAGTTGGGTGCCCTTGATCAAGGAAGGTGGATACATATCTACATACACAAGAAAAAAATCATCTCTGATATCGTAGTTCAAACCGCTTTGCTGGACATGTACATGAGATGCGGGAGCCTGGATGAGGCTCGCGGGATGTTCAATAGCATGCCAGAAAGGAATATCATATCTTGGAACGTGATGATTGTCGGACTTGGCATTAATGGCGTTGGAGAAGAAGCTCTGGAGCTTTTTTCTCAGATGGAGACGCAAGGGAACCTGATGGATGACTTGACCTTCCTTGGTGTTTTAAGTGCATGTAATCATGCAGGTTTAGTAACTCAAGGACTGCAGATTTTCAACAGAATGAGAATTGCTTATGGGATTAAACCGAAGCTTGAACATTACGGGTGCTTGATAGATCTCCTGGGACGTGCAGGAAGATTGGATGAAGCTAAGGATGTAATAGAAACCATGCCCATGGAGCCTAGTTCAGCTTCTTTGTGGGGATCTATTCTTGCAGCCTGTCGGATTCATCGAAGAGTGGCCCTTGCGGAGGTCTCATTACAGAGGCTCGTAGAACTTAAAGCAGATGATTGTGGTGCATATGTTCTCATGTCAAACATATATGCTGAGGAAGGGATGTGGAAGGATGTCTGGAGAATAAGAAAGCTAGTTACAGATAGGGGGATGAAGAAGGAAAGGGGAAGTAGTGTGATTGAGGTGGATGGTACAATTGAGGAGTTTGTTAATGGAGATAGTTCCATCACGGAGGAGATAAACCTGGTTATCCGAAGTTTGTCAAAAGTAATGGTGTCCAAATGATAAGGCAGAATAATAAAGATTGTGGAAATTCAAGGTGAAAAACTTGTCACCTTAATTCCTTTTCTCCAAACTTAAGCAGCCATTCGCTCATTCTTATGAAATTCTTTCCTTTTTTCTTTTTTCTAAGACATTCTTCTAGGATCGGTTTGATTTGCAGGAATAGAGGTCTGGAATTGGTTTCGATTCTAACTGTTTGTTTGGGCAGAATCGGAATCCTATTCCCATTTATAGTAGAATGGCATTCTCCCATTTGAAGGAATGGCCATTTCCTCCCCCTCCCTTGGAATGAGAATTCATTACAACCAATTCTGATTCCAATTCCGGTTCCAATTTGAACCAAACAGGTGAGTGGAAATGACCATTTCAATTCCAATTTCAAAGTATTCCGATTTTTATCCTGATTCCAATTCTAAATGTAAACCAAACGGACCTTAATTCAAACACAATTAAAGGGCAGCATTTTAGAGAAAAAAGAAAATTCTCAGCTTGTGGTTGTTGCCGACGTTTTTTCAAAAGTGCTCCAGCACCCAAAACAAGCCTGATTATTCTCTCTCCGCCAGCGTTGGGACTAATTTGAGTTTGATCAACATGCAAGGCAAGCTGCTTTGCCTCTGAACTTGAGCTAGTCGGGTCCAATCAGGCATGCACTCTGGGCCTAAGACATCACATATGCCTGAACCCGCTTTTGTGCAGGCTGGGTCGGGTTGGACAGTTTTGTAGGCAAATTAGACTTGGCAATTGGGTTGGTGGGTTGGGCCAAGACACTTTGGGTTGATTTCGGGTTGGGGCCAGCAAATGCTAGACCCTAACCCTAATTGTTTGGGCTAGTGTTGACCCATGGGTTAATTCGAGTCATCTTTAAAAATAATTGAAAATTTAGGAAATAAAGAAAATATAGAAAAAATGCCAAAATTAAAGGAATTAACCTTAAAATTCTAAAAATAAAATAAAAATCTTGGAACATTTAACAATTCTAAATGATGAAGTGTAAAGCCAAAAGCTAAGAAACATGGGTAAGAGGGTCAAAATATAAGTGTAATTTAAATGGGTCTTATGGGAGTTTTGAAGACATGGGGCGGGGGGGGGGACATAGCTCTGCCCCTACTTCTAACAATACATAAATAGTTTCAATTAAACCTGACAATCGAGTCAGCAGGTTAACTCATGACCCAACCCAACCCAACCTAGTTTTTTTTGAGTTGGGTCAGGTCGGGTCATTCTTGCATTCAGGTAAATAAATATAACCCTGTTTTTCAAGTTGGGTTGGGTCAAGTTTGCGGGTTGGATCAACTTTTTGCTAGGTCTAAGGCCAATGAAGTTGAATATTTTGTAAAAGTCAAAATTTAAATTTATAACTATTTCAAAATTGAATATCTTGATGTAGGTGAAGGAAGGGAAAATCCATCATATGGATGGCCGAATCATGTAGGGTGGTTGGGCAAAATTTCAAAAATTTATTTTCTCCCTTTCGGGAATCGTATTCCCAGTTTTAAAAAAACTGCATTTTTCAAGGATTGTTTAGAACCAAACCGGACCAAATCCGAAACCAAAAGAAAGGGAAAGCATTACTTGATACGAAATCCACATGTGTAGCTCCCAAAGTAGGTGTTCACACCCAAAGAGAGTACAAAAACCCACTTCCACTGAAGATGGCGCAACTTGAGATGAAGCAAGTTCAACAATGCAGTGCTTCAGCAAGAACTGCAATCCAACCGCTTGGATCGAGCATGGGAGGTGAGCACGAGCTAGATCTGATATTTTCTTGTGAAATATCAGAATCAAAACTGATCTTTATCAGTTCAAGAATGGAGGTTGAATTAGGGTTAGGGCGACAAGAGCAGAAGGAGAGAGAGAATTGAGAGCAGTGTGTAAACCTAGAGCAGTTCGCCCTCTTCTATTTATATAGCTTAAAAAGCTGCACTCCTAATCCAATTAGGAGCTTCCTAATCAAAATCTTTATTTGGATCTGGATTGTTTAATTGGATAAGACTTATCTTCTTATCCTTATCTGCAAATCCAAACCCATATCCATATCCAAATTCGCCCATGTCACATGATTGCTTAAGCTGTCATGTGACACTCAGATTAATTCAATTAATCTTTGGGCTTTAGGCCCATTAAAGAGGTTGCTCACGTCCCTTATTAATTGCTGGCTAACTTGGCTCTCTTTGTATGGCGTGAGACCCTAACACTGATATTACAAAAGCCATATGGGTTCAACCTAGCTTCTGTGACACAGCCTGGCCGAATTCATTACTAAACATAGTGAACCCCTGAGTCCATCAGTATGGGCTCTTAATGGGCCCAATATTTACACTAAATGGTCATTGAGTCTAACCATCTTATGAAAGCCTAAGGACAATGGTCTTAAGTGAGATTAGTCCATCAGGTATAATAGCCTTAAATGATCTTACACTTAACCTCTCAGCCCTTAATGATCAAATATTGCCCGACAAGAAATGACCTCTCCCTCGATTGCAAGGTATAGTGTTGCACTCTCTGCTCGATTGAAATCGACTGCAGGCAGTTTTGGTTTCCATCAGAGAGAGTGCAGTTTCGATCATTCACTTTATCTGACAAAGGGACTGATCTTGTCACCTCAAAGATGGAGCCAACACGCAATATGTTACAGACACTACTTTCTTGTTTAGTGTTTACATCGATGTGCTTGCTAAATACAACTAGAAGGTGACATGTGGGAACAGAGAGTTTGACTGGAAAGATCTCATGATGTTCGCCAAGAAACAGGTAATGAGATTAATCTCTCTTTGGTCCCTCCTCTCTCGAAGTCTCACACGCTAACATGCCCAACCCGGATCAGATTAACTAAATTCTTCTTCTGGAAATTAATTGCAGATGGATTATTTGCTTGGGAAAACTCATTAGGGAGATCATACATGGTTGGGTTTGGCAACAACACACCGAAGTAGATGCAGATGCAGAATTGTAGGTATGTGGTGATCACTTAGACCATCAAAATAGAGGTATCAACCTAATACTATGCGAACGCCTAAAATTAGTCCATAACTCATTACACATCTGTGATGAGTTATGAACACATCTATGATGAACTCAGCCAAAACATGTTGCGATGAACTTTGGACCTGCACGGACTTGCGATGAGTTTAAATCCATTGCAAAATCACGATGAGCTCCGGACCCGCATGGACTTGCGATGAGTTTAAAGTCATCACAGAATTACGATGAGCGCAAACTCATCGTAAATCATAAACAAAATAATAGAAACACATGCATCATTGCTTAAGTTCATAGATGGATTGGTTAAGTTTACACACCATGTGTTTTTGACCTGCAACAATGAAACCTTGCGGTTGTTGCATATTGATATCTTCATTAAGATCTTCGTTCAGGAACACGGTTTCGACATCCATTTTCCAAACCTCGTAGTCATGGTGTGTTATTACAGCTACTGGATCTGTATGGATTTAAGTATCGCCACTAGCAAAAATGTTTCCTCATAATCAATTCTCTCTTTTTGATTGTATCTCTTTGCTACAAGACGAGTTGTATAGGTCTCAACCTTCCCATCGGGGCCCTTTTTCCTCTTATAGATTCATTTGCAACCAATTTCCATTAAATCCATCTCGGCTCTCATGGCATCTACCCACTTTAAGGAATCTATGTCCAATATAGCTTCTGTATAAGTTAGAGGATCTTCCTCACTAATCATGGCTTCCATCATGTAACTTTCTTGATCATAGCTGTAACGGATTGGAGGTCTAGAAAGCTGGGTAGACCTTCTAAGTTGGGTGTTATTTGAAACATGTGGAACATCTCCCACTACTCCTGAGCTGTCATCATCAAGAACAATTTCCTGGTGATGATTGTCCAAGACATCTTCTTCAAAGAAGTAGGCATTTCGACTACAAAACACATTTTGCTCTCTTGGGTCATAGAATAAGTATCCTACAGAGCTTTTGGGGTAGCCTACAAATAGACAACGATTGGTCTTAGATTCAAATTTGTCAGCACTTGTTCTTTTAACATGTACTAGACAACCCCAAATGTTCAAGTGTCTTACACTTAATTTCTTACCAGTTCAAAACTCAGGGAGTCTTGGAAACGGATTTGGTTGAAACCCATTTCAGCACGTAAATCGCAATCTCCAATGCCTACCCCCAAAAGGATATAGGTAGTTCTGAGTAAACGAGGAGTGATCGGACCATATTTAATAGAGTTCGATTTCTCCTCTACAACAAATTGTTTAATTATGCTGTAGCAGGAAGAGACAACTATGATACAATCCCATTGTCTTTTAAATAGTCCCTGAATTCATCGGAGAGATATTCGGCTGCTCGATCTAATCGAAAGGCCTTGATTTGTCTCTCCAACTGTTTCTAGACCTCTTGTTTGAACTCCTTAAACTTTTCAAATGATCCAGACTTATGTCTCATTAGGTACACGTAACCATACTGAGAATAATCACCGGTGAAAGTTATAAAATAAACGTGTTGGTTACGTGTCCTAACATTCATGGGACCACATACATCAGTATATATCAGGTCAAGAGTGCTCGTAGATCTTTTAGGCTTTCCCGAAAATGGTCGTTTCGCCATCTTACCCTAAAGACAAGGTTCACAAGTTGGAAGATCTTTTATAGTTAAAAAATCCAAAAAGCCATCCTTTACTAACTTCGTGATACAATCTATATTGATGTGGCCAAGTCGGTAATGCCATAAGCACGTGGGATTTACTGTATCACATGATATTTTCTTGGGGATAATTTATGACGTAGTTTCAGTTATCTTAATTTCCAAAAAAGGATGGAGGACATAGAGACCATTCTCAAGTTCTTCATAAGTGAGGAATTTTTTATTCAGTTTAATATTAATCGTATTACTAAACAAAATTGAATAACCATCCTTGCACAATTTTGAAACAAAAATCAAATTTATTCTCAAAGTTGGTACATAAAGACAACATTTAGGTTTGACAATGCCTTATCTGAAAACTAATTCTACAGTTCCTATAGTTGTAGAAGTCCCCAAGTAGAGTATCACCTCGTCGTCACTTAGCCTTCTGCTTTCTTTGAACCCCTACAATGTGTTACGTGCATGAGCTGAAGTCCGGGAGTCAATACTCCAGGATGCAGAAGTGACCAACAT